TATGTGTTGAGTATGCTTTGATATATTGGTTTTATGTTGTATTTTTCCTTTTACTGCATTGAAGGTTTTTTTAAAAAAAGCTCATTAACTCTGTCAGAATCACAAATTATGAATGGGGGTGCTTTGATAAATTCCGTTTAATAATGATTAATGATTTTAGGCAAATGGACTGTACAATCTTTCAGAGATAAATATGTCTTTATTTAAACGTGATTGAAAGTGTGTATAAAACAGTCTATAGAAGAATTAAACCATTTTAAATATAACTAAAATACAATAAATTCCACATCTCACTTATAGCAGACTCTCTTGAATATTTTTATTACCCTATGTCAAAAAAAAGAGACCCAGTTTAATGTAATGGTTAAGGCATCAGACTAGAAACTGGCAGACTGAATTCTAGTCCCACCTTAGTCAGAAAGCCAGCTGGGTAATCTTGGGACAATCATTCTCCCTCAGCCCTAGGAAGCAGGTAATGGCAAACCACTCAAAACCTTGCCCAGAAATCTGTGGGGACTCAAAGGCACACATACACAATCTAAAGGGCATCTTACAATGTTGCCAACTGATGCAGATTTACAATTAAAATGCCTTAAAGAAGATGAATGCAAATAACCAAAACATACCGTATTTTTCGGAGTATAAGACACACTTCCCCCCCCCCCAAAAAAAGAGGTTGAAAATTTGGGTGCGTTTTACTCCGAATGTAGCTTTTTCATTAGCTAGTAAAGCCATCTTCCGCGCTTCACCTGCTTTTCTCATTGCTGCTCCCTCTGATGATCAGCTGTGCTTTAGAAGCTGTTTTTCAGCCCTAACAAGACACTAGCAAATGAAGTGATTGCATTTCGCCTGCTTTTCTCATTGCTTCTCTCTCCGATGATCAGCTGTGCTTTAGAAGCTGGTTTTTATCCCCTACCATGCGCCTGCGAGCATAGCGAGCACGTGCGCACCCAAAACCAGAGAATTAATGTGCTGAAGCTGACCAGACTAAGGACGCTATCCAGATGAATACCTGGTAGGCAGAATTTTTTCCCCCTATTTTCCTCCCCCAAAACTAAGGTGCGTCTTATACTTCGGTGCATCTTATACTCTGGTGTGTCTTATACTCCGAAAAATACAGTAAGTATAATTCAGGTCTAGTCAACAATTCAGCAACACATTCAGGAAAAAAAAGTCTAATACAGACTTCTTGGCAACCTGTCATTTAACATGATGGCCTTGTTGCTCCTGGAAGGCTAAAATTTCCCTGCATGTTTATAAAAGCAAGTAATTGATTTCAGTGGGTTTGTATGAGAGTATTGCAACAGAGAATGTCTTTTGCTTGGCAAACCAGCTATTTCCTGTGGTCATGTCTTCTTCCCCACCTGCAGCATGACACAGATACCCAATCCCATTTGAGATGACCCGGTGTCCTTCCCTCTTCCTATTCCAAGAAGGGACAAATCTGTGGTTTGTCTCCTCTGCTTACAAAGTCCTGAGAGTGACTATTTTTGTGGTTGCCATTCCTGGCAATGAAAGGTTTCTAGGAGTCTCTAACCCGGTATTTTGTGGGTGACGAGTGAGCTGGCAGCAATAAAATTGCAAAGCTAAACCAAACGTGAACTCAGATAGGAGAGGAATCTGAAAATTTGCCAAAAGGAACATTCTTGTTCAATAAACCCTCAAAACCTTATCTAGCCCTCTTTGGCTCCTTTAGAATAAGAGAAAAGGGAGCAAATTTTGCTTCCTGAGATGTCTCCTTAGGAGTAGAGACTAAAAGGTAAATGTCCTCTCGCACATATGTGCTAGTCATTCCTGACTCTAGGGGGCTGTGCTCATCTCCGTTTCAAAGCTGAAGAGCCAGCGCTGTCCGAAGACATCTCCGTGGTCATGTGGCCGGCATGACTAAACACCAAAGGCCCATGGAACGCTGTTACCTTCCCACCAAAGGTGGTCCCTATTTTTCTACTTGCATTTTTTACGTGCTTTTGAACTGCTAGGTTGGCAGAAGCTGGGACAAGTAATGGGAGCTCACCCCGTTACGTGGCACTAGGGATTCGAACCGCTGAATTGCCAACCTTTCAATTGACAAGTTCAATGTCTTAGTCACTGAGCTAACGCGTCCCAGATAGGAGTAGTGACTAGAGTCCGTTATATATTACAATAATTATTTCCCTGCAAGAATGTCCTTACCATTAGTTTCATGACACAATAACAGCAAAAGTTTTTATGCACGATGATTTTTGGAATTTAAAGTCAACAATGGACAATTTTTAAAAAATGAAACAGTGAAATAGAAATGTGAGACAAACATTCAGAAATAATTAATGTGAGCAAATAACATGATTATAATTTATAACAGCTGAACATTCTGATGATTTTAGCAAAAAAGACTAATATAGCCTTTTAAATTTAATTTATAGAGGCCTGGGAGCAGTGGTGGGATTCAGCCAGTTCGCACCTCTTCGGGAGAACCGGTTGTTAACTTTCTGAGCAGTCTGGCAAACTGGTTGTTGGAAGGAATCATTAGGGCAGAGAACCGGTTGTTAAATTACTTAAATCCCACCACTGACTGGGGGGGATTGAGGATTCTGCACAATGTCTTAGCTGTTCCTAGCAATGGATTTTCCTGGACAGATATTCTAATATTGTTCCTGGGTTCTGTTGGAGCCATTCTCCAAGTTTAGGACTAAAAGCACTGAGTGCTCCTACCATCACTATGACCACTCTGGCCCTTACTTTCCACATTCACTCTAGTTCAGGGGTGTCAAACTCAAGGCCCAGGGGCCAGATCCAGCCTACAAGGTGCTTAGATCTGACCCACGGGGCTGCCCTGGAAACCACAAAGGACCAGCCTGCAGTGTCTCTGACAGCGAAAACGGAGCTCGGGAGGGCTGCATGCGGCCCTTCTGAGCTCTGTTTTCACTGGCAGAGGGTTGCAGGAGGTCATCGCAGCCAAAAACAAAGCTCAGAAGCTCATTTTTTCTGGCAGCCACCATACGTGCCCCTGACACACCAGTAATGTCGAGCTGGCTACACCGACCCTGGCCATGCCCGCCTGCCCCCCCGCCCCCCCGAGGTCAAACACAACCCTGATGCGGCCCTCAATGAAATCAAGTTTGACACTCCTGCTCTAGTTCCTCCTTCAGGCCCTGATAGTTCTCCAGCTTCTACTCCTTCTTCCTGATGTTACTATCAGTAGGGACCACTACGTCTATTACCACCGCTGTCTTCTGGTCCTTGTCTATGATGTCTGGTTTATTGATCTGGATCTAGAAGTCCTATAGAATCTTGGCTCTGTTATTGTCCATGATTTCTATGGAATCTCCTATCAGAACTTCGGAGGGTCTAGCCCATATACTGTGCAGTTGTTCCTGTGCACAATGCCAGGAACATTCAGTTGCGACATTCAGCGTGTGCTGTTCCTGCCTGCGTCTTACACCCTGCCTCTATGTGTTGGAGTGTCTCTGAGCTGAAGTTGCACACACATCATTCAGTGTACTGTTCCAATAATTCCATTTACTCGTTTGATTTTTTTAAAAAAATCCGCTGCTTGTTTTCATTGGAGGGCAAAATGTTTTCCAAACACAAATATGATGAATTTATGAGATGGCAAGGATGAAAGATGAACCAGCTATGCAGAAAGAAGATGTAGTCAGGGGGATATTTCTATGAGTTTTATTTGATTATTTCATAAATCTGGCAGAATTAATAATAGCAAATGCAAAATTGCAGAATTGGGGAATATTTCCTGCTGGGAATTTCCAATTGACAGGAAAAATTACACACTTTCAACATTAAAGACAGATGTGTCCTGAGCGGAGTGGAGCTGACAAATTTTTAAACAGACTTGCAGAAATTTTCTCCCCTGTAGGAGTGTCGCTTCTACAGACAAAAAGAAGGAAATAACTACACATTTGTTCCTGGCTGGTGTAAAAAGTGATGCTTTGATTTGGTCTCACCTATCCTTATTTTGCAATCTCCTTCATCATGGTTTATAAAAACATGGTTTATGCTTTCATCAATCAATTGTGGCTTATCAATTTACTATGGTTTAAGCAAGCCATGCCCTATCAGGAACTTAAACCCAGTTGTTAAGTTGGACCTCCTGCAACATAATGTTGCAACTTCTTTCCATTGCTTGATGGTTTGAAGAAGACATTTGTAGGGTTTCTTGGGACTATAGGCAGTGGTGGGATTCAGCTGGTTCAGGCTGGTTCGGGCGAACTGGTTGTTAAATTGCTAGCTGGCCCCTCCCCACCTTGCCCCTTCTAGGAATCCCCATGTGCCCCATTTTGGCTCCCAGGTAAATGCAGGGAGGCCTAGGCCCAAAACGGGGCACAGGGGGTGCGGCACAGTCTCCACGGCCCATTTTTGCTCCCAGGAGGCTGCAGGGAGGCATACTAGGCCCAAAACAGGGCACAGGGGGAGTGCGGCATGACCCACCCCAGCCGGTCATTAGGGTGAAGAACTGGTTGTTAAATTATTTGAATCCCACCACTGACTGTAGGAGGGAGGGGGCTGGTGGTTGGAGTAAAGAAAGAAGGATGGCTCAGCCATTAAAAGGTGAATTGATTGACTGGAGGAGGTGGCGACTTAACCATTCCTGTTTCAAGATAACAAGAGGCTGTACCACAGTGATTGTGGGGAAAAGGGAGCTTGGAGGACCACACACACAAAAAAAAGAAGGTGTGAAGCAAAGGCTCCACTCATGATGACCTTTGATGGACATATGCATTTTCTCAAAATGTGCTAGATCTGTTTTGTTTGTGGTTCTTCCTGTTGAAGGCCATCTTGCTTCAAAGATGGGGCACCTCATTCTTCATCAATATTATTGAAGTGGTAAATGGAGGAAAAAAATAGCATTGGTCTTTCCTGAAGTCCAAGAGTGTTAAGAGAGACCCATAAATATTAGCAGACCAACACATAGGGATTCTATTTAAAGACTGTGGTGTAACAGAAGACAAATCAGGGGAAAAATGAAAATAGTTGAGGCTTGGCACTTGACTTCTGTAGAGAGTATGACCTTGTCCCTTGACCATCCTGACCTGCATGGCTGGCTGCTGTCTTTCCGGGGTTTGCTGACAAAAGCTGCCTCTGCTCCTTGGCTTGGCAAAGAGTCTGTTGTCAAACCTGCAGGAGCCATCTCTGCTGGGAAGCAAGTGGTTCTTACAGTTCTTACCACAGACCAGAGATGGGTAACCAGTGGTAAAGTTAGATCATTTGAGACTCTAGCCTTGAAGGTCTTATAGGGCCTGCCTTCTCCCGTCTTTTGATAATAAGATGCATGTCTTCATTCACCTCAAAATGAAAATTTTGCAATTTGCAATCTGTTGCAATTCCTCCTTATTTGACTTAGGGCAGGGGTGTCAAACTCGATTTCATTGAGGGCCGCATGAGGGTTGTGTTTGACCTCAGGGGGGCCAGGGTGGGCATGGCCTGGGTGGGTGTGTCCAGCTTGACATCACTCGTGTCGGGGGGGCACTTGTAGTGGCCCAAGCATTCTGCCAGCAAAAATGGGCTCTCGAGCTCCATTTTTAGCTGCGATAGCCTCCTGCAACCCTCTGCCAGTGAAAACGGAGCTTGGGAGGGCTGTGGGTGGCTCTCCCAAGCTCCGTTTTCACTGTCAGAGGCACCGCGGGCCGGTTTTTCGCTGTTTCCAGGGTGGTCCTGTGGGCCAGATCTAAGCACCCTGTAGGCTGAATCCGGCCCCTACGCTTTGAGTTTGGCACCCCTGAGTTAGGGGGTCCTAGATTTTTGCTCTTAAGCCTTATCCAATGGGGCTAGTCAGTTAGACTTTGAGACTACAATGCTGGGAGATAGGGAATTTAATGGGGCAAATACTCCATGCGCTAGTCACCTCCCGGATCGACTACTGCAATGCTCTCTACCTGGGGCTGCCCGTGAAGACCACCCGAAGGCTTCAGCTGGCACAGAATGCGGCCATGCGGGTTGTTGTGGGAGAGACCCGATACTCCCATATTACACCACTCCTGCGCGGCTTGCATTGGTTGCCAGTTGCCCTCCAGGTGAAATTCAAGGTGCTGGTGTTAATCTATAAACCCCTTCATGGTTTAGGCCCAGGTTATTTGTCGGACCACCTGCAACCAGCGTCAACTTCCCATCGCCCGGTGCACTCTCACAGAGAGGGCCTACTCAGGGTGCCGTCGGCTAGACAATGTCGGCTGGCAACTCCCAGGGGTAGAGCTTTCTCTGTGAGCGCCCCCATCCTTTGGAATCAACTTCCCTTGGGGCTCCGGTTGGCCCCTGACCTTCGCACCTTCCGCCGTGAATTGAAAACCTGGCTATTTATGTCCCCCGGCCTGGACTGATGGGTAGTATATTTTAAATTTTTTTAAAAAAAACTTTCTTGATTTTTATGTATATTTGTTGTTTTTAACAGTCGCTTGGTCGACTGTCGTTATGAGCCGCCCTGAGTCCTTGGGCGGCATACAAATTTTATAAAATAAATAAATAAATAAATAGGGAATTTAACGTGGCATTCTCAAAGCAAATTGGCCACTCTGCCTTGTCTAAGACCGACAGAACCAGAATCATACATCTGTAAATTATAGTTACAGCTCTGTCAGAAATACATGCCTTTCTACTTTTAAATTATTTTAACACTCATCGTTTCTATTGCAGTAACATAAATAAAATAGATGTATAATGTGTGATTGTATAAGCAAACTGCATGATTAATACACTGGCATCAGACACAGACAGAATAAGGAGGGGTAATAAACAAGGCAGTTCCATCATCAGGGGAATACCAAGAAATGAAAAATCTGACTACATGATCTGATTAAACTTATCACTTCAATGTCTAACTTGCATTGAATTTATAATGAAATCTACCAATCCCTGTGGCCACTTGAAAACGTGTCTCGTGATTCTTCAATGTTTTATTCACATTTTCAAGTACATTCAAAACACAAATAATATGTTGCAGATGTATTTTGAATACATAATCTTATTAAGTTAGTTGTTAAGTTACTACAACGGGTTCTGAGAATGACCTTGGGAGACAGGAGCAATAGCTGCAGCCTAGACCACCATCATGCAAAAGGATATGTCAGCTCACAAAAAGAGAGGGGAGGAGAGAGGAGAGGGAGACGGGGAGAGGGGGAGGGGGGAGAAAATATCAGAAGTATTTCAAAAGGGGCCGTTTCTAGTTTTCTGGGACATAAACGTAATGAAGAGGAGAAGTATTTTCAGAACTGTAAGATTCTGTTACTGTTGTCTTCTTTTAACAACCTCATAATCCCTTGTGGGGTGGAGTCTGGGCAACTGAATGGAGCTGAGTATTTACTGGCCGGATGCCCTTCATGTCACCAATGCGGAGTTCTGTTAAGATTCTGTTACTATAACCCTACCATAATGATAATGTACTCATGGTTGGTGTTTCATGTCTGGGATGCATTGAAGGACTGACAGTTATCAAAAATATGATGTTCTCACAAGACCTGCATTTTGAAATGTATTGTACAGGTAGACCTCAGGTTATGACCACAACTGAGCCCAAAATTTATGTTGCGAAGTGAAACATTTGTTAAGTGGGTTTGACCCATTTTACAACTTTTCTCGCCACAGTTATTAAGTGAATCATTGCATCTGTTAAGTTAGTAGCATGGCTGTTAAATAAATTTGGATTCTCCGTTGATTTTGCTCATCAGGAAGTTGAGAAAGGAGATCATATGGGATACTGCAACTGTCATAAATATAAACCACTTGCCAAGCATCTGAATTTTAATCATATGACCAAGTGGATGCTATAACAGTAGTAAGTGTGAAAATGGTCATAAGTCACTTTTTATAATGCCATTGTAACAGTGGTAGGATTAAAAAAAAATTATTACCGGTTCTGTGGGCATGGTTTGGTGGGCATGGCTTGGTGGATGTGGCAGGGGAAAGATACTGTAAAATCTCCATTCCCTCCCCACTCCAGGGGAAGGATACTGCAAAATCCCCATTTCCTCCCGATCAGCTGGGACTCGGTAGGCAGAGAATAGATGGGGCCGGGGCCAGTCAGAGGTGGTATTTACCGGTTCTCCGAACTATTCAAAATTTCCATTACCGGTTCTCCAGAACTGGTCAGAACCTGCTGAATACAACCCTGCGTTGTAACTTTGAACAGTCACTAAATGGACTATTGTAAGTCGAGGACTACCTCTTTATAAAAAACATGCATCATGATAGACTTTTTTAGCTGATGCTGAGTTGTCAAATTCAGTGAAACTCAGAATCTGACAAATAATTATGTTCTAGTCCTTAGAACATTATTCTGAGCGGAGCAAATCACATCAAATTGCAGTCCAAATGAAATTATTTCTCTTCTTCATAATAGTGTGCGTAAGACAGCAGCCTAAACCAAATCTAAATAATTTTAGAAATTTACTTCATGTCAGTTCAGAATATCAGTGTAAAATACATTTCATTGCATGTTCTTTTGACACTAGAGATTATGAAAAAAAAAATCCTTTATCCTTAATCCTAGTAGAAATGAATATACATAACTAGGCTTTGCAATTTTAGATTCTCTTTGCATTAATGCAAAGAATCCTGTGGGTGGGCTTTGGAGAAATGTATTCTTAACTCATCAATAATATGAAATGTCACAGAAAATTTAATACTCAATCTTGAAAATGCAGTCTATTAGGTAGCAATTGGGAATCAATATCTATTTAATGATCTCTCTTTCTCTTTTCTCCCTCTTTCTCTCTGTACTTATTCATTAAATATTAAATTGATAGAGGGATCTTTTAAAAAATTCTCCCAGATTTTTCCACATGTCTTAGATGATGTTGCGTCTACATAATAAGATCTAATTTTAAATGACTTGAATATCATGTCACAACTTGTTAATGCTGATTCAGGAACTATGATAAAAGTACAAAAATAAAACAAGGATTTCTATCTGCTGCTGTAGCATAAACGGCATTCTTCAATTCAACAATTAAATGTGCATGAGTATGCCTTTAAGGTATTATTTTAATTCAGTAATGGAGAACCAGGTGCTGGTGAGTCATTGAAAAATGTAGGAAGAGTATTTATTTTATTTATCAAATTTTGAGAACCCGCATCTCCCTCGCAGAGGGATACCGGGCACTGTATAAATAAAATATTAAAATTTAAAGGTTTAAAACTGTCAGGAGATGATACCATCTTTTCCCCTTAAAGGAATATAAAAAATGTTTGATTTCTTATCTGACTTTCTTTTGTTTGACAAGAAGATAATATTGTCTAACATATGACAATAACTTGATTCAACAATTTCATTCTCCTTGTACAATTATCTTGGCAATTCAGAAAAGACAGTTTTAGCAGATATATTTTTGTCATTGTTGCTGTTATATCATCTCCAGCTGCATGCCAACAAATGTTTGCTTTTCAGTTACAATACAGACAGTCCTTGACTTATGACCACAACTGAGCTCAAAGTTTATAAGCAAGACAGTTGTTAAGTGAATTTTGCCCCATTTTAGACCTTTATTGCCACAGTTGTTAAGTGAATGATTGCCCTTGTTAAGTTAGTAACAAGTGAATCTGGCTTCCCATTGACTTTGCTTGTCAGAAGGTCGTAAAAAGTGATCATATTACCCTGGGAAATTGCAACCGTCATAAATGCATGCCAATTGCCAAGCATCTGAATTGTGATTACATGACTATGGGGATGCTACAATGGTCGTAACTGTGAAAAACAGTCATAGATCCCTTTTTTCAGTGCCATTGTAATTTTGAATGGTCACTAAATGAACTGTTGTAAATTATTTTATATATAAATGGTTTTCTTTGGATTGCCATTTTAGAAAGATTTCAGTGTACCCTTCAGAATGTTAAGAAAAAGGTTATGCAATTAAACCTTTGAAACAAAAAGCAGGAGAAAAGCTACAATATAAAATATTGATGGGAAAAATTATTGCCATATAAGATACTTAAAAACACCTCACGTAATATGCTGAAGTGCCTTAACAAGTCTAAAAAAAATGTTTTCACTTTGTACGCCTAGGCCTTCATTTTCCCAGAATTCTTTCGTAAATATGCGTTTTTTTCCTAAAGTGAGATTTCCTTTGAGCCTGATGCAGGCAATATCAGTGAAGCATCCACATAGGGCTTGTTTATTTGACAAATTTGACATGATTTGCCAGGGTGGTTTTCCTAGATACTCTTGACTTCCCAATCTAAAGGCTAAAACATATAAAGAACGGTTGCTGGAATTGGGTATATCTAGTTTGATGAAAAGAAGGACTAGGGGTAACACGATAGCAGTGTTCCAATATCTCAAGGGGTGCCACAAAGAAGAGGGTGTCAAGCTATTCTCCAAAGCACCTGAGGGCAGGACAAGAAGCAATGGGTGGAAACTAATCAAGGAGAGAAGCAACTTAGAACTAAGGAGAAATCTCCTGACAGAACAATTAATCAGTGGAATAACTTGCCTCCAAAAGTTGTAAATGCTCCAACACTGGGAGTTTTTAAGGAGAGATTTGATAATCATTTGTTTGAAATGGTATAGGATTTCCTGCCTGAGCAAAGGGTTGGACTAGAAGACCTCCAAGGTCCTTCCAACTCTGTTATTCTATTCTATTCTATTCCAATCTAGCCTAGCATGCTTAGGTTTCTCGCTACTCTCATATTCCAATGGCACGTACTGTATGCTGATCCTCAAGGAATTCTTATGAGGATATAGGAAAATTTCTGAGAGTAGGAGAATGTGGAATGTCTTCTCAAGGCATGGACTTGTAAGAGGAGCAGTTGACCCAAATTGTACATGTAGGGATAGCTCAAGCCAAAATTCAGCTCAGTATTTGAAATTAGCTGACAGATCTATATGTTTAATTCACAGCACAGTGCTAACAAAATAAATATATTAGCAATAATTATTAAGTATACTACCATTATTATACTACCAGTACAGTATAGTAAAATAAGAATAGAATAAGTATATTATTAAGTATATTTATTTAATATACTACTATTTACTGAATTATTGATTTTGGTGGACTTCTCTCTTTAAAAAAATAAAATAACACAACTCCCCAAAAAATGACATTGGAAGAGAGGGAGGAGGAGAGAAAAAGAATTGCTGGAATTTGGAAAGAAGTCAAGGAAAAGCTTTTCAAAGTATTGGAGATAATTTTTACAGTGCATGGAACTTATTTCCATATGCTTCCTATTACTCAACGAAGGCATTCTATTAAAACAATATGCAAACAAAATAGGCCCATTTGCACCTACAGCAAATTATTTCCATTAGAAAAGGGCACAAAATGAAGCTGTCATTTTTAGTGTCAGCAACTGCTGTTGAACAATTAATTTAATCTCTTAACCACAGGCATGGAGTTTTTGTTAAACACAGTGATAGGTGGACTTTTGACCTAGAATAGGAAGGTTGCGCTGTAGATAAATGAGTGACGAGTCAAATTCCTAGATGTGTGTTCTATAAAAAGTTATCCCAACCTAAAGTATTTGTTAAACCCATGTACTTCAGTAGTTGTATGAAGATGAACATCTTAATTGCCTCTGTTTTCTTCTTCTGGATTCCAGCTGTCAGTTTACCTTTCCCACTTCCCCCCCAAAATTACGGTAGGTCCTAGGCCTGAGACAGTAAGCAACTTCTTTTTATTATTTTTATTAATAGATATAAGTAGAAACATGATTATGAATACATGAAGTTAATACGACTAAAAGGGAACATTAGGACAGGGATAGTAGACACGCTGGTGTGCTTATGCACCCCCCCCTAAAGACCTCTTAGGAATGGGGTGAGGTCGACAGTAGACAGTCTAAGATTAAGATTTTGGGGATTTGGGGAAGAAACCACAGAGTCAGATAGTGCATTCAAGGCATTGACCACTCTGTTGCTGAAGTCGTATTTTCTGCAATCAAGTTTGGAGCAGTTTACCTCAAGTTTGTATCTATTGTGTGCTCATGTATTGTTGTGATTGAAGCTGAAGTAGTCATTGACAGGTAGGACATTGTAGCAGATAATTTTATGTACTATGCTTAGATTGGACCGAAAGCGGTGAAGTACTAAATTGTCTAAGCCCAAAATTTCAAGCCTGGTGGTATAAGGTATTCTGTTGCAAGCAGAGGAGTGGAGGAGGAGTGAAATATATCTGGATTCATTCAATTGTATTAACGTCCGATATGCAGTGTGGGTTCCAGACAGATGAGCTGTATTCAAGAATTGGTCTGGCAAAAGTTTTGTATTCCCTAGTTTGCAGTATAATATTACTGGTGAAGAAGCTACGCTTAATCTTAATCTGCCTGTTTTCCATACACTGTTTTTAGTGTCCTACTTTTTTTTATCTTTCTTCAAACGTTTTCCCCCTTTTATTTCTAGAGCTATCTGGACAGTTACTACAGTCAAGGAACAGTTTGGAAAAGAAGCTCAGCATCTTTGCTTGACAAGCTGAAATACATGCAGTCTTTTTTTAAGCTGAAAGGAAATGGGCAAATGACCTCAGAAACCTTTGAACTAATGAAACAACCTCGGTGTGGCGTGCCTGATATGGCCGGGTATCATTTTTTCCCCAGGAAGATTAAGTGGCCAGTGTTGGATTTAACATACAGGTAAAATGAAGTTGTTTTAACTTGATCTTCTTTTCCCTTTGTTGTGTTTTACTAGACCCTTTTGGGAAATATTGCTCCTGTGGTCCATATGAGTGGGGCTTCTTTGCCTTTGTTTTTCTTTGCTGACATTCTGAAAATTTTACATTGAATTTTAAAAACCATGATTCTGTTGAAATGACAGAATGACAATCATTTATAGCAAGTTCTTAACCAAGATGAAAATTTGTGTGGAGTGGTTTTAGCCTAAATCATTCTCATCGAGGCACAGCCAGAGTTATGAATGTGTTTTGGGAAGAATAGTCCCATACAGCAGCAGCACCAAGCCAAAATGTTTAAACATCATTTTATTATTTACTCTAATATTATACTGATATTAGCCTGATGCTTTTTTTCTTTTGAGTTAATGCAATTCAAAGGCTGTAACCACGTATAATGGAGAGTTTCCCCATGTTGTGTATGTGTAATTTGCTATTGGTGGCAGAAGTCGGTCTCGAAGGTACCTGGGTCCTATGCCATGGAGCGCTTTAAAGGTGGCAACCAACACCTTGAATCGCACCCGGAAGACCACTGGGAGCCAGTGCAGCTCGTACAGGAGGGGTGACACGTGGGCACAATGGGTTGCACCCATAACCACCCGTGCGGCCGCATTCTGGACCAGCTGGAGCCTCCAAGTGCTCTTCAAGGGGAGCCCCATGTAAAGAGCATTACAATAGTCCAGCCAGGAGGTGACAAGGGCGTGAGTGACCGTGCGCAAGGCGTCCCGGTCCAGAAAGGGCTGCAACTGGCGAATCAGGTGAACCTGATAAAAAGCCCCCCTGGCCACGGCCGTCATATGCTCTTCTAAAGACAGACGTGCGTCCAGGAGGACATCCAGATTGCGAGTGGGGGTGCAGGGATTCACCCCCCAATAGTCAGTGATGGCACCAGCTGACTATATCAGGACGCCGGAAGCCACAGCCACTCGGTCTTGGAAGGGTTGAGTCTGAGCCTATTTCTCCCCAGCCAGACCCACACGGCCTCCAGGCAGTGAGCCATCACATCAAGGGCATCGTTGGGGTGGTCTGGGGTGGAGATGTACAGCTGAGTGTCATCAGCGTACTGATGGACTCACCCCAAAACCACGGATGATGTCACCCAGTGGCTTCACATAAATGTTGAACAGAAGGGGCGAGAGGACTGACCCTTGCGGCACTCCCCATGCGAGGTGCCTCGAGGTCAACCTCTGCCCTCCTGCCAACACAAACTGCGAACAGTCGGAGAGGAAGGAGGAGAACCACTGCAGGACGGTGCCCCCTATTCCTAACCCCCTCAACCGTTGCAGCATGATACATAGTTATGGTAGGTTATAATAGTTAAGGTGTTATACTTGGATCAAGGAGAATCAAGTTAGTTCTCTCAACGTAACACTGAGTTACATTGTGCCAGAAATTCATAGCCCAGGCTGTTTTACAGGATTGTTATGGAAACAACATGTAAGCCTCTGCATGTAAACCATCTTGAGTATGCAATGATGATTGGCATTTGTGATATGAACAGAATTGTGAACCATACCCTGGATCTGAGCTGGGAAGAAGTGGACCAAGCAATGCATGAAGCTTTGCAAGTATGGAGTGATGTCACCCCTCTTCATTTCACCAGGATCTTTAATGGCACTGCTGACATTATGATCTCTTTTGGATCCAAAGGTGATGTGAGAGCAAAATTGTATGCTATGTTGTCATGTTTATTCTAAAATTTGCTATACCCCTTAGATGTCTAATTAATTAGCAATTATTTGGGGTTGTTTATTTTATAGAGCATGGAGACTTTGTACCTTTTGATGGACCATTGGGTCAACTAGCTCATGCTTTCCCGCCTGGTGACAATATTGGAGGGGATGTCCACTTTGATGATGATGAAACATGGACTAATGATTCTAGAGGTAACTGTAGATTTATTTCTAGGTCTCCAGAAGTACTAGCTTGCCTACATAAATCCATTAACCTATCAATTAACTAATATGACACTCCGATCATAAGTCTATTTTCTCAAAACATGATACTGTCTTGTAAATTAAAGCTACAACTTTTGTATGCTATTTTCTCTAAAATATACACTTCTAGGCCTTCTTCCAAATGCATCTACTTTTATATACAAGCTTTGAGCATAGAAATGAACTTAATCCTCCTAAAGGACTGTCCTTTAAGAGAACCTCCATTCACCTTAAACTATGAAGGCAAGTAAATGATTAGGTAACCCTGACTGTGAAGTTTACTTGATGTAAAAATAATGATGGGAGAGATAACCTTGTTTCTAGAACTGTTTATACTACTCTATCATCTGTGTTTGGGTTCCAGAGGGCATCCTGATGCACTATTGCTAATTTGATGGCTTTGTGCTCCTTCCAGATTTTAATTTATTTGTGGTTGCAGCCCATGAGTTTGGCCACACATTGGGGCTACAACACTCAAGTGACTCTGAAGCTTTGATGTACCCTCTTTACACTTACCGTAGCCTGAAGGACTTTGTTCTTCCTGAAGATGACGTAGAAGGCATCCAAGCTCTTTATGGTACTTATATGTTTATTCATTCTAAAATGGATAATGAAGAAGAATATGTAAATTCAAAGGAGTGCTTTGCCATAAAGAAGTTTCCCTTCCAAAATAGCACCCTTTGTTGTGTGCTATGGCAAAATAAAACAGTATGTATGTTCCAAACATCACCATGGTTACACCAATTGTGGCAACCAACTGATGTACATATACTACATATGTAGAAGTGCTACCCATTGTGGTGGTTTGTTGAGCTCCTCTTTGTACTTCAGCAAAATGAAGTGGCCTTGCTCTGCCCACTACTAGTAGTTAATTATTGGCAGATAGTAGATTGATAGAATGATGGGCATTTATACAAGAACTGTGAAATGAATTCTAAATACTGTACGTTCAAGACAAAGGATATCATGAATGATTCTCAATATTTGCAGGTCCAAAAAAGAAGACAAGCAATGCTATAATTCCACAGAAGTGTGATGCAAACTTCTCTGCAGATGCTGTTGCAGATATAGATGGTGATAAAATCATATTCAAGGACATGTAAGATGGTGGTAAAAGTATCTACCCATTCTTCTGAGCATAGTCATTAGGGTTATAAATAACTAATAATCATTAAATAATAACAAGGGATACAATGAGAGCTTCAGTAATAGATTGTAAATTTTTGGTTATGTTACTCGCCTATATTAGCCCCTCTCTCTCCTTTAAATCCAACTAATTCCCAGAAAGTTAAACATCCTTTTTTGTTTTGTTTTGTTTTTCTCTTAAGGTATGAGTGTCAAATTGGAATTAACACTAACTTTGGCTTCTTTGAAACAAGCCAATAATCAACTACGACAATGTTGTAGGCTTGCATAAACAATCTATAGTTAACATCAAACTTATTTGAGATTGTACTTTTAATGGTAATAAAACTTTTCCATCTCTTGCTGTAGATAGCTAAGGGGAGAGATAGATAGATAGATAGATAGATAGATAGATAGATAGATAGATAGATAGATAGATAGATAGATAGATAGACAGAGATAGAGATAGATAAATAGAGATAGAGATACGTAGATAGATAGATAGATAGATAGATAGATAGATAGATAGATAGATAGATAGATAGATAGATAGATAGATAGATAGATGGATGGATGGATCGAGATAGATAGAGAGAGAAAGAGAGAGAGAGAGAGAGAGAGAGAGGATAGATAGATCTATTGGAGCAAGGGCTATAATAGCCTCTGTGGGGTTCACACTGCAAGGACGAACTGGGACACTTGATTTTGAAACAAAGAAACTGGGAAATGAAGTTTAAATTAATTAAATGATTTTACTGCTAAATCTCTATTGTTACCTTCCCACCTTCCCTCAAGCACACCCCGTTTACAAGTATGATAAATTAGCATCCATTATATTTCAACTGTTTACAAGTTTTACTATAAATGAAGCAGGGGTGGGTTCTACTTACTTTTACTACCGGTTCGCAACGGGAGAGTGCATGTGCATGCGCAGAAGCTTCTGCACATGCGCAGATCACCAATATCACATCGTGGCGGGTGGGTGGAGCCTCCTGCCGGTTTTACTACCGGTTCTATAGAACCGGACCGAACCAGGGGTAACCCACCACTGAAATGAAGATATGTGAGCAAATAAATAAATAGTATTTCATACCAGAGGAAGCAGCAGGATCAAGCAAGGATAAGAGGCACAGTATAGTGTGTTAGTGGTGTTAGTAGTGGACCACAGAAGATGGAAAGATATTTACTTTGTCAGCTTTTTGAGACAGACCAGACCAAAAAATAGACTCTACAGGAAACTAAAAACTACTTTTATTTAGGTTGGCTATCATGACATACTCATGTAAGTGTGATTGTGGTTCCCCTCCTCCCCCTTTTATATTCGTGCAAATTAGGTGGGTATCTGTCTGAGATGTTTTTGTAATCCTCCTTCATCAATTGTACTTAAGCAATGTTTCCCTTTTTGTTCCTCTGGTAATATATCTTTCCCCTCTTCCTCTCTCCTCTCAGGGTCATCCTCTGTATTCTCTACATCTGTCATACAACAGATTTGCATTGTTGTTCAGAATAATGTCCGAGTGCAGACTTTGATTTCCATCGATGAGCTGAGGATCCACTTAATACTATGCCACAATTTTTCTGCTTTTTTCTCTTACTCAGATTTGTGTGGCATCACAATTATCAGACGATTGGTGAAGGTTGGATGGTTATTGATTCTGTTTGGCCAGAACTTCCAAACTTCCCAGTTGATGCAGCTTATTATTCCCCAGAGAAGGACCTTCTCTTCCTATTTCGAGGTGAATGTTGCTTTGCCTTTCATCCATGCTAGCTTTCCTTCATCTGTGTTTTTACTGAGAAGGACCAACATATATCAATGTTGTTCTTACTCATTTTGTCAAAGTAATAACTTTCCCAAAATGTAAAATAATAAGGTAAAGAAATAAGTAAAGGTAAAGGTAAAGGTTCCCTCACACATATGTGCCAGTCGTTCCCAACTCTAGGGGGCGGTGCTCATCTCTGTTTCAAAGCCGAAGAGACAGTACTGTCCGAAGATGTCTCCATGGTCATGTGGCTGGCATGACTAAACACCAAAGGCGTACGGAACACTGTTACCTTCCCACCAAAGGTGGTCCCTATTTTTTCTACTTGCATTTTTTACATGCTTTCGAACTGCTAGGTTGGCAGAAGCAGGGACAAGTAATGGGAGTCACCCCGTTATGTGGCACTAGGGATTTGAACCACTGAACTGCCGACCTTTTGATCGACAAACTCAGCTTCTTAGCCACTGAGCCACTACATCCCTCTGTAGAATAATAGTTACTGATTAATGTTCATATTGTGAAGCCTTGGTGCTCTCTGCTTTTGTTTGTTTCCTTGTAGATGTTTTATTGCCCAACTAGGTAACATCTTCAGTGCTAAAGACATTGCCTACTTACTGTAAGTAGTGAAAAGCCTGCAAGAAAACAAACAAGACTCCATAGTTCAATCCCAAGATACAAATATTCTCTTGTAGTAATACACATACTAACATACACAATTAACATACACACTAATTTTAGGAGAAAAAAGATAATTATTTATATCATGTCTTGCAAAAGACTTGAACCTCATGGTACAAGATAATTGCTACTGTGCACAAATATTATTGAAATGCAAGATTAAGGGAGATTACAAAGATGGTTCCATCTACTGTAGGTTTTCTATCCACCCTATGTGGGAAGAATAGAGAATGTATGAGTGTCAAATGAATGAATCACAATATTGCTAGAGCCTGACTAAATAGGTTTGCAGTTAATTTACCGGTATGTTCCAATTTTCTTTTCTGGCAAGTGGTCAAGTCAAAATTTTCAAAAAGCAAAAGCAGATTTTGGTATACTAATTTTAAAATTAACTAAATTAGTAATTAGTAAATTAGTAATTTGTAAATTAGTAATTTTAAAATTACTAATTTTAAAATTAAAATCAAAATTAACTAAAATCAAAAGCACTGAATCATTTATCAGTTGAGAGCTTAGCACAAAGATACATTTTTCATATAAAAGAGTGAGACCAAACACAATTGTGAAGTCCATAGTCCAGCCGTATTGCAGAGATTTTTGCTTACGTGCTTGGAAGGTACACTCTGACAGTGTAGAGCAGGGGTGTCAAACTCAAGGCCCGCAGGCCGAATTTGGCCTGCAATGTGGTCAGATCCGGCCTGCGGGGCCATCTTGGAAAATATAAGGGGCCAGCCCGCGTTGCTTCAGCCCGGTCTACCCAATGCGAAGACCAGCATGGCTTCGGCCTGGTCTACCCAGTGCAAAGAGGAAACATGCCAACAGTTTGGGAAGTGGCGTCAAGCTGGCCCCGCCCACCTGATTGTCCACACCTACAGTCTGCCCCTCCCACCCAGTCCCCCAAGGTCAACCACAGCCCTGATGTGGCCCCCAATGAAATTGAGTTTGACACCCCTGGTGTAGAGAGATGGTCCCTTGAATCATCAGATCCCAAGACACTTAAAAGGGAAGAACCACATTTTCTTAGTAATTATATTACTTATTTTTATACCATGAAACAGATACCTGCCTATCTTGGCTTTACCATTAATTATGTCAATTTATCATTTGCTTCCACAAACTGTACAGGGAAGAGGTATTGGGCTCTGAGGGACTACAAGATACTCAGTGGTTATCCTCAGAAACTATACAACCTTGGATTCCCAAACTATGTGCAGAGGATAGATGCTGCTTTCTATGATGTAAAATCCAGGAAGACAAAATTTTTCACTAGGGACCAGTTATGGAGGTAGGTAATGAGTGGTTGAGGAAGTGGCTCATCTGAACCACTCTTACGTCCGCACTATAATAAAACTAAATAAACATTTTCCAGAAACACTTTGAAAAACAGTTTTGAAACCCACAGAGTACAGTTTCTCTATCCTGATGGCATATCGTATTTATACAGTTACATATTACTCATCATGCTGTGGTTAACATGGAGCTCGGTTCCCTCCCTGGACCTTTTGCAGTGCAAAATTACCTATTCTGTTGGCTAAGTTTTTTCTCCTTTCTGCATTTTACATCAGGATGATCTGTTTTCAAATCCTCATCCAGGTTTCTTTTCTTTCGCTATCAACAAGATATGGATACTATTCCATGATGTAGTTAGGTGACAGGTAAGCCATGGCAGTCTAAACCTTGTTAAATGATCCTAATACCACTGATCATTGCATAGATCAGCAGACTATATACCAGCAAAGATACAACTCTTATACTCTGTATAATGAAGTGAAAAACCCTTTCAGAGGGCTAAGCAGGTGTGAGGTGCTGGGGATTCGCAGGGGTTTGGGAGAACCTCTAGCTAAGATTCTGTGCAGTTTGGAGAACCCCCAAATCCCACTCCTGGCTGGCCCTGCCCACCCCGCCCCCTCTCTTTCAGGAGTCCCCACGCGGCCTGTTTTGGATGCAGGTAAGTGCAGGGCACACACGGAGGCTTGGGGAGGGTGAAAAAACGGGCCTATTGGAAGTTTGGGAAAGCTGAAAATGGGCCCATTTCCAGCCTCCAGAGGGCCTCCCGAGCCTGGGGAGGCCATTTTTACCCTCCCAGAGCTCAAGGAAAACCTCTGGAGCCCGGGGAGGGCAAAAATGCCCCCCCCCTGTGGTGCAGGAAGCTGACTAGGCCACGCCCACCATGGCCCTGCCCACCCGGTAACCGGGCAGAGAACCCTTTACTAAAATTTTTGAAGCAAACCCCTGGGGCTAAGCCAATAATTTCCACAGCCTGCATATATTATTTATTCATATTCATACCACAAAGTCTTTGCTCAAACTGATGTCAATTCAGATCACTCATTCTCAATTGTCAAATGTGACATGGTATGATTTACTCAAAGATGGAGCTGAAACAGTTATTGCATAGCTGTCTATAAGTTTGACTTACACTATTATGTATATGTACATGTAACTGAAAGAAAACTGTGATGCCAAATTCATCTCTATTAGAATATAGAATTTTTCTTCACTGGATCTACAGTATATGCACATACTATATACTTGCATTTCTCTTCCACGTTTCCACAACTCCATCCATAGGGTTCAACTTAAGAGTAAAAGCCTGGCAACACCATTTCAAATACATAATTCTAAACATTTTGCTTTAGCAGTGAGACTCTAATTCATCACAGCTTTGATTGCCCTTGACTGATTTTTAAACCACAATTGATCCAGAATGCATTTGCTCAAGTAGTTATGGGCTACCTAGTGGCACCTATTTAACACCTTTATTTTGGGAGCTGCAATGGTGATTGCATGATACTGGAATGCCGCAACTATCAAAAATATATATATACTGGTTGCCAAGCGGCCATATTTTGGAAGTGTTGCAACAGTCATTAGTGTGAGCACTAGTTGTAACTCACTTTTTTCAGTGCCGTTGTAATTTCAAACAGTCACTAAATGAATGGTTTTATTGATTTATTTATCAAATGTATTGGGTAACAGGGTTACTCTGGGTGGATTGAAAGTAGAGGATTACCTGTATACAGAACCACCTTCTCCCAGCAACTTCTGCTCACTTGATAAGTTTTAGTAAAATGGGCTCCTCATGTGAGTCCCCCACTCAGGGGCCACATATGCAGGATTTCTTAGTTTCCACCCCTTCTGTGAACTGTATTTGTTCCTCCCAACATTTGAACAGTCTCTTGATTTCTGGCCTTCAAGAAATTAATAAAAGCATGGGTTAGGGTTTCACCAAGCCATGAGGATGAATTAACTCTATTCTTCTGTGTATCTCTCACAGTTTGTTGTTATTCCCCTGTACCGGGGTGGGTTCTACTTACCTTTATTACTGGTTCGCAACGGGACGCGCAGATCGCTGATGATGACGGTGGGTCATCATCGGTGGGTGGGGCCCCCTTCCGGTTTTACTACCGGTTCTTGTGAACTGGTCCAAACCGGGGACAACCCACCACTGCCCTGTACGCTTTGGATTTTAAATTTGATTTGCATAGTTTTTATTCCCGGTTACAGAGGGAGCTGTACGCCACAATCAGTCAGCTAATTGGAGCAGCCCATAAGTCATGTAAATAAAGAAATAAATCAGCACCCTTAAACAGTTTGAGAATCAACCACAGAGCCTTCTAACAGCGATGAAAAGGACTTTTCTATATTCCTGGAAATTTCATGAGGGAGTCTGCAAACAAATGTAAATAACATTAGTTTTGGGCCAGACTGAACAATGAGTAAGAAGTGAGGTTATAAGATTTGCGCACTAAGCACAAGAGAGTTTGACGAAATAAAATGCTGCAAAATGTGGCTTATTGATTTAACTGCAAAGTTAGAACATAAAAAGAATTATTCAGCATGAGGAAGATTTTTATTTATTTATTTGGGAAAACTATATCGCTGCCCATTTCTGATATATAACTCGGTGTATGTGTGTGTCTAACAATTAAAAACAAAATCAGGATGAAATATTTAAAAAAGCAACATCAATAATAGTTACTATATCTCTCCTCCATCAATACTGAAGGCAAGCCTTTGATCCCACTTAAGTGAATACCGTTTGCATATCGTACAGAGATAATTGGAAAATGTTGAAAGGACTATGAAAGCAGGCTTGGCACATTAAGATGGTTTCTGATCAGATAGTATAAATCTTTTGGCTTCAGTTCGCTCCCATTCTGAGTTCCCTGATTTCTTTCTAAGCCTCATGTGGGTTTCTTTTATTATTATTCGTTTTGGGCTACAGCTATAATGAGAGATTTCATTCTATGGAGCACGGCTATCCAAAACAAATAATGGAAGAATTTAATGGAATTATACATAAGGTGGATGCGGCATATCAGCAGAA